ACTTTCCTTCTCCCCCTCCCCAGACCCTCCCCACCCTCCCATCTGTCTGCACCGAAGGCAGGTTTGCACCAAAGTCGGGCTGGTTAAATCCTCTACATCCTGCAGTTTTGAGAAGCGGTCTGTTCGTTCTCACTGTGGAGATGCAAGAACCTTTAATTGTAGTGGTGTAGCTTCAGGGAGAATGTTGGAGGATATAGGTTTTTCCATTGAGGAGCCTGTCATTGGAATTAAGTGCTGATTCAAGTGGATCACTTTAAAGATGTGCACCTTCATCTCTGGACTTGGTTGGAGTTTTTACAAAGCAATCTTTGTTGCATCTATTTTATGTAGTGGGTTCCCACTGGTTTTGATAAAAGGAAAGAATTTAGCAAGGAAAATAAGCCTTCACAAAATTAAAGGATATATATATATATTAGGGTGTGTGTGTGTAAAGTTTACATTTATACTTATATTTACAGGAAGTTTACTAAAAGGAATAGAAAGTTCTGTATTTGTGTGGGCCTCTTGTAGCACACTGATGAACAGGCGCTTCTAGTTGCATTGGCTGTAACAAAGGTGGAGTGCACTAGAGAGGGAATTTGGCATTTTCCCTGCAGTGGTGTTTGAAACCTTCTAGGTCTGCAGTGATGAGTTTAAACTAGAAAGCGAAGATGCTTGTATGAAGATTTGATAGGCAGAATAATTGCGGAGGAACTTGATTTAGTCGCTTTATTTTGGGAGGACCTTATAGTGTATTGACTCAAGTCAATACTTAGATCTTGAGCACGTAAGGAATAGTTTTATAGGGATGAAAGAGACGGAGGAAATTCTAATACATCAGTTAGAGAAGAGAGAGAGATCCCCGCTAGGTGGTGGGGTGGTGTCCAGAGACTAGAGAAGGCTACACGAGAGACGTGACATTTGAATTGGGCCCAGAAATATTCCCATCCATGAACACAGGTGGTTATGGAAGGTCCTGTCGATAGAGCGTCATAGGCATGAGAGTCAGAGAGAAAACACCTTGAGCTAGCACCTTGAGTGTGTATGAGGATGTAATGGTAGATAGTATTTGAAATGATTTTAATTCCCAGCTAAGGAGTTTGACCTCAATTCATCAAGGACTGCAGATCCATCGAAGGTTTTGGAACCATGAAATTGACGTTGGTTGATTCCGTAAACACGTATCCAGAGCATTATGTTAGGCATTGCAGCTCAGCTGAGACAGAAGCAGGGTCTAACATCAGGGGCAGTCAAGGTCTAACCATTAGTTTCCTTTCTAAAAACTTTTCATACCAATAATGATGATGATAGCTTCTGCAGTGCAGGCACTGTGCTAAGTAACTCATCCTTACAGTAACTGACCTGGAGGTATTATTATTATTATTATTATTATTTCCGGTACGCGGGCCTCTCACTGTTGTGGCCTCTCCCGTTGCGGAGCACAGGCTCCGGACGCGCAGGCTCAGCGGCCATGGTTCACGGGCCCAGCCGCTCCGCGGCATGTGGGATCTTCCCGGGCTGGGGCACGAACCCGTGTCCCCTGCATCGGCAGGCGGACTCTCAACCACTGCGCCACCAGGGAGGCCCAACCTGGATGTATTATTGATCCCTGTTGCAGAGATTAGGAGATTGAGGTTTAGTGGAGGCTAGATGCCTTGCTCACGACTCAGTGGCAGAGCTAGGATTTGGACCCAAGGCCATCCTGTCCCTAAGTTCATTCTACCGGTAGCGCTCAGTGCGGCCCTGTATTGCGTCTCTGCTGTGTCACGCTGCCAGGACGCCCTCTCTGTGAGCGTTGCTGCACTTGGGGTGCTCTGTGTTTGCCCCCAGGGTGGATGTTCCTCCTCTGCTGAGTTCCCAGTTCTCTTATTAATACTGTAGGTATTCCAGGCCCTGGGAGATCATCTTTTAATGTAACTTGACACGTCTCTCTTCTCACCTGTCATGTATTTATCAATTTATGTACTTTCATATCCTGGAGTGGGACATCTCACACCTGTTTGTGTGCTTCTGGTTTACCTGTGTGACCTTGAGTTACGCCTGCAGTGCCTGGATCTATTGTATGGTAGGGTGAACCGCATGGCCTCTGAAATCCCTTCTGTTTGGGGGGTGAGGCATCCACAAAGAGGAATAGTGGCTACAGGATTCTTGGATGCTAGGGAGAGTGTTGTGAAAAGGACAGGTCATTCTTTTCAGTGCTGACCCCTGACCCACCGTCAGTAACATTCATGTTCGTAAGCTTTCTAATAATCTGGCTTCGTGGACCTTGAGTTCTACCTGACGTCAGTGAACTAGAGATGTAGCCAGAGCCTCTGAGTTGCTCGATTTTAGAACTGGTCCACTTTCAGAGCAGCCTCTTTCATCGCTTTCTGCATCTTTCTACCTTTGAACCTCCTTACCTCGCTCCCCCACCTTCCCTAAGATCTCTAACCATTCCTGTTTCCTTTTTATCACTTAGGACTGGGTCCCCACTCCAGACCAATTAAATCAGAATCTGGTGGGATGGGGCCGAAGACACTGGCGTTTGGTAAAAGCCCCTCTGGTGATGGCATTTGCGTTCAGGGCTGAGAACCACTGTGTGTCTTGCCACTGCTGCCCTCATTTCTCCCTTTTAATGATCAGTCCTAACTAAGCATGAGAGGTGTCCGTGAATCTAATAATTTTAAGGAGTACAGTACTAGTGGCTATTTGTTATTTTTTGTTTCTAATGAAAATTTTGTGTGCATTCCTAATTTTTATATTAGTTCACACTGGACTGTCTTCAGTCCCAGGTCTCTGAATCGGTCTGATTGATATGATAACTTAATGTCAGTTAAATACGGTTAAAGTTAAAATACATGACCAAGAGGTCTATATTTGAATTCCACTTGAATTTTAAAAGTAACTCAAATTGTGGAATGATATATTCAGATTCTTAAAAAGATATACATATATTTATGTAAACAGTCAAGCACACAAGAAGGAAAAAAGAAAACTGAAAAAATATAAAACTGTTTAATGATTATGAGATTTTTCTCTTGTCATATCTGCATTAGAAATTTTCTGTAGTGAATGCGTATTTCTTCTATATTTAAAAAAAACAATCTTGAAAAGAAAATATACCCTAGACAAAGTAGGGGTGTGTGTGTGTTGTTTTTAGCTCTTGAAGCTAAAATATTCTGAGGGGGCATTGAGAATAGTACCATACTAAGAGTGAGTTAATAGCAAGGCTTGGCACACAAAAGCTAGGATTTGGATCCTTGTTATTTTTGTTTTTGCTTATCATAGCTAAGCTAAACTCCTCTCATCTGATGGTTGGTATTTTGCTTTGCTGAACAAGTGAGAGTCATGAGATGACTAGTCCATAACAGGGGCACCAGAAAATGATGACATTGATAATTTATTGTTTGGTTTTTAATGACGAGGGAGTAATTTGAACAATAATATCTGTTATTGGTGGTGCTTTCTGAAAAACGATTATACCAGGAACAGAATGTTGACTTAGTATCTGTTCATCTTTTTGCAGTGGCTTATTACTGGAGCAATGCTTAACGTGTGCATTTGAATTTCAGTTTTAAATAAGACACAGTTAGAACAAGTGGTTTAGACCAAAACTTAGCAGTCATTAATCATCCCTGGGTACTGTTGTCAAGTGATTTTAGTAGTACTTAAAAAATAAAATCAAAACGCTCAATTTCTAATAGATGTTTAGTTTCTACTCTTATTTTTGTCAAGATAGGTTCCTTTTAAAAATAAGAAGGGTGGAGAAACTACTGCCGAAATAATGAGAAAACAGCACCGTGTGGTAATATTTCAGTACGATGATTTCTTCTGAAACGCTGTTTCACTAATCCTTGGGGAAGTTTGGCTGTGAGCATGCAATTATTACATTTTTATCCACAGAATGGGCTAAAGTTGGCATCACATCCTTCATGGTAGTCAGAGGCAACACATTGACTTAATTTGTGACCGTGTGGTGGATACTTTTGAATAATTTTAGTGATTTTTTTTTTTTTTTTAATGCTACATTTTCTGTTTCCTCCCCAGTTTCCTACCTTTTGTCGCTCACTACTCTTTCTGACTGAGTTCTGAGGCATCTTTTGTTGGTTGGGGAGAGTAGAATAACTGAAGGTCCAGATGATTGTCCAAGAGGCGGCCCTCTTGTGTCCCAGGCAGGGGTGGGGGAGTGCAGGGCGGAACGCTGTCTGGGGCCAGCCTGAGGGGAAGGTCCGTCCTCTTACAGATTGACAGAAACAGAACACACCTTAGTTAGGCATGTTTGAACCCTGACTTGGAGCCGGAAAAATGTACCGTTAAGAGAGCTGCATTTGGGGGGATTTTGAATTCTTTTGGAGTAGTAGAATTGTGGTTTCTTTTTTAATTTATTTTTTTAAAATTAATTTTATTAAAGTATAGTTGATTTACGATGTTGTGTTAATTTCTGCTATACAGCAAAGTGACTCAGTTATATGTACACATATACATTCTCTTTCATATTCTTTTCCATTATGGTTTATCACAGGAGATTGAATATAGTTCCCTGTGCTCTATACAGTAGGACCTAGTTGTTTATTCTGTATATGTAATAGTTTGCATCCGCTAATCCTAAACTCCCAGTACATCCCTCCTCCCCCCTCCTCCCCCTCGGCAACCACAAGTCTGTTCTCTATGTCTGGAATTGTGATTTCTTAAAGTGCTCACCTCCCCTGTTCTATTCCCTGCTTGTGCCTCTGATATATTTTTATATGAGTGTGGGCATCTCTTCTCCTAGGTCAGGGGTCACAGAGGGACAAGGGAAGAGCTGGCCGGCAAGGCATCCTTGCCAGCCGATGGGGCAGCCACATTACACTAGTTTGCATTACTTAAGGGCTTTGGGGTGGGTGTGCCTTTCTGAACAGTGCTTGCATACGTTTTCCAAAGCCATTTTTGTGTAATAGATGTTTGTTTAATAAGTATATCCTTAAGATAATCAGAAAGGAAGAAAAAGTTCTTACGGTCATCGTATCTGGGAATGGATTTTTGTTTTCTTTTTTTAAATGCAGAGTGGACACAAATATCTACCAGGTATCTTCGAGAGCAGTTGGCCAAGATTTCCGACTTTTACCACCTAGCTTCCAGCGCAGGCGATGGCCCTGTCCCTGTGCCACCCGACGTGGAACAAGCAATGAGGCAGTGGGAGTACAACGAAAAGTTGGCATTCCACATGTTCCAGGTAACATTCCCACGAAACTCAAAGGCTGCTAGCATGCTTTTAAGAGGAGAGCAAATTCCTTACAGTTTAGTTTTTTTTTTTGGAGGGGGGAGTTAAATTATATCACTATATGAACGAATACATTCAAAGAAAGCCATCTGACATATCTCACACTAAATTAATATTAAAGGTAACACCTTTGCCCTGAGATGACAGCTTCCTATTATACATATTGATCGCCAGCTTTCAATGATGCCAGCTCTTTTAATGCCATTAATTGGTTTGTAATTGCGCTATTAAATGTAATCCTCCCAAGCCATTTACTTTGCAAAAACTGGAGGCATTAATTCAAAAAAATTTTTGTGCTGATGCCCCCTGTCTTATAGATCTCCTTTAGAGCTTAGTTATTCCAATGAAAGGTCATCTTAATTTTGTTCAGCTGCAGTTTAAAATGCAGTTGAGAGGAGGGGTAAGGGCATTGAGGAACGACTGAACTCCCATCCTGACACGCTGATGTACATCATATTGACCAGAAGAGGGCGCTTGTGCTGTTATTTGCCTCGATTGATCTTTACTCCCGGCGTGGAGGAAGGACCAGTGTGTTCAGCTGGAGTTGTGTTACCAGCATAGACGTTCACGACCTGCTATCTTGATCAAAGAGGAAGGGGGTAGAAAGGATGTGTGGTTTCTAAATTTCCCTTCTTAGAACTTCAATTACAATTTCCAGGTGGTAAGCAACTTTTTCTAAGAGCTCAAAGTAGGAAACTTTGCCGGTCCTTTGGGAAGTAGCATTGTTAGTTTTAAATCAGTAAAAACTCTTAACCAATTCTAGTTCCATTTAGCAGAAGACTACTTCGGTGCCTGCTCTGAGCTTTTATGACTTTTTTTGAGCTGAGGATTTAGTCTGCATCTTTGAAAAAAGTGTCTCTCAGCATGCTTAGTATTTTAGGAAGGATTACTTTATGTATTAGGGACACTGAGATCAGTATCTCTTTTTTGGAAGCAGTTAGGTAGGTCCTAAACAGATGAATGTAACTGGGACATTAATTTAAAAGTTCATCATATTTTAATTCACCTTATTCTGAAACATGAAACTGTCTCTAGTATGTACATGTGCAGGTGTGCATGTGCAGAGATAAGGGTACAGGTACATTACAAAAGCATCTTGAGGATGGACATTATATAGTCGTTGGAAGTCATGCTTATGAAGATACTTTTTCTTTTGAACCTTGCCTTCACCATCTCTTAATTCTTCGTGCAAGGTTCCGTTTTATTTATTTCTTTAACTTAAAGTTTACTTTATTGGTCTGAAAATTATAAATTGCACTTTTTCTGTGGCTAACCTTTTCACTTTTTTTTTGACTGTAAGCATTTAAAAAAAATAGAAATTAGCAATAAGTGAACACTTTGCTATCATGTCAATGTGGTGTCGCTGTAATGTTTTAAATACAGAAACTATAATTTAGCAGTATATTTTTACACAAGTCATTGATAACCACGGTAGTGGACCACTGGTGATACGTAGATATGTCAGAGTTGCTGGGAACAAAGTAGGACTTCATATTAACTACTAAGGTTGTTAACCAGAATGACCATAAAAGTGTAAGTGGCTTTCCCAGAAAACAGAGCTTTTTGTTTCTATCTTGAAGATTCTTTTATGATGTGAATCATAATACAAGGTTATAGTATGACATTAAATGTGTGCGTGCATAGAATGCCATAAAGAATGTGTGTATTGATGTGTGCATACACAGGAAGACAATAGATGAAAATGTTAACATTGCTTATGTTAAGAGGAGCTACACCAGCCCTGTGAGGCATTTTGGAAATTTGTGGGTGTGTTGTTCTTTAGTGTATTTATGTCCGAATATTTATACATTATTTTACTACAAATTCCTTTTATTTCTTTATGGTACGGATGATTAGGCCATTATATTGACTTTTAAGGTTCTATTTCGTAGGTAGGTTATGGTGGCTGAAATGCATTTTAGGATAGAGAAGGAGGCTACTCAGCGGCCTCGGATCTGATAGGATTCCCAACCCTTTTTCTGAGACGATAGTACGATGGGTGTTTTTGTTCTTTGTAATTACTACCGTTGGCCAAGTTTCCTCCTATGAGTATGAGTTCATAGTACCCTGAAATCTAGCCAGGTATTTGACATGCCCTGGGAGTCTGAAAGCTTCTGAGTTTTCTTTCTTGTAGGAATTAATTTTTATCAATTTAGAATGAAGCAGATATACACAACCCAAAGAACAACAACAACAACAACAGAAGAACCCTCCAATCAACCATACAGAATAGCACCAGTTCTTTGCTTTGTTTAGAATTTAAACTCTGATCAGGGAGACCATGTTTTACTACAACAACAAAAACAATAGTAAAATTACACTTAAGCATAAAGATAAGACTGCTCTTTTTTGAATTTTAGTTGGTTTTGTTTTAACATTATTAGTGTAATTTTTCTTTGTTCATTTAAGGAAGGAATGCTAGAAAAACACGAATATTTGACATGGATCTTGGATGTGTTAGAAAAGATCAGACCAATGGATGATGATCTTCTTAAACTCTTATTACCACTAATGCTGCAGGTACGGTACATGTAACCATGAGCCAGTTGATTTTATGGGCAAGGAACGAATCTGATGAGAATGATGAGGTAAGTGGAGGTGGAAGAGGAAAAATTTTCTTTTTGAAATGGAAGGAGAAAAGGTCTTGATGCTCCAACACTTGAAGTGATAAGAGGCTTCTTGTGAGTTGTAGCAGTCATTTGCTGGGCCACGTGTTCCTCTCAAGTATTCTTACCCACATTGATTTCCCCCCTTCCCTGAGCTGAGCAAACAGCTCTTTTAATACTGTCTCCTTGTTCACACAGATTTCTGTGAAAACAAAACAAATCGTCTCTTTGTAAGGATACAGAGGATCTTCTACATTCTTTTGATATTCTTTGAGCCACTGGGGGTGGGAACTTCCTATTTTCATGATTGGCCTAAGATCTGTTAAAATTTAGGCTATCTGGATGAAATTTATTTAAAAAAAAATTTCTTGGAAAGGTAATTCATGCATTTGACAATTCCAGCAATATGAAAGAGTATCGAGTTGAGAAGTCATTCTCTCTCTCACCCAGTACCCTCCCAGAGACCACACCGTACTAGTGCCCTGTGTCCTCCCTGAGACATCCGTATCTGTGCTGTCCACTCTAGTAGCCACTAGCCAGACGTGGCTCGTGAGCCCTTGACAATGTGACAAGTTCACATTGTGACGTGCTCTTGATTTAAAGTGCGCACGAGGCTTCTGACTTGGTATGGAAAAAGGAGCATATAATATCTCACTAATACTTTCTGTGTTGAAATGATAGCATTTTCGATTTAGGTATATTGGGCTGAATAAAATACATCATTCTGTGATTTTTTTTTTTAATGGCTACTAGCCATTAAAATTTTAAATTTAATTTAAAATTACATATGTGGCTTGCGTTATATTTCTGTTGGACAGAGCCAGTCTATGTAGCACTTTGGAAGGGTTTTGTTTGTTTGTTTGTTTGTCTTTAGTGAAGAAAAGCCTGTATTATGATAGCTGTCTCACCGAGTAGCCTAGGACATGACTGAAGTCTGGTGTCCTTGTGCTCCCCAGTATTCAGATGAGTTTGTCCAGTCGGCCTACCTGTCCCGCCGCCTTGCCTACTTCTGTGCCCGGCGTCTTGCGTTGCTGCTTAGCGATGGCCCCAACCTCCTTGCCGCCCACTCGCCCCACATGATGATAGGACCAAACAGCTCGGGCATCGGGGCCCCCAGTCCCGGCCCCCCCGGTCCCGGCATGAGCCCCGTGCAGCTGGCCTTCTCCGACTTTCTCTCCTGTGCACAGCACGGCCCCCTGGTTTATGGACTTAGTTGTATGTTGCAGGTAAGTCCTTGGCCCTTCCTGTTTTATGTTAACATTCAGTCCAGGAAACAACTGAGTTGGGAGTCTTTAAGATCCAAAAGGCTGACCAGGCTCTGTTCAGCTGCCAAGCAGCACTGCTTGAACATCTAGTAGCATGTCGGCAGCTGGGCTGTTGCCACCAGGTGTGAGATACAGCCTTGTCCTAGCTCTAGGAGCGCACAGGTCAGTGTTCAGGTCACATTTCTCGGGCTCCTAATGTGTCCTGCTCTTTACTAAGGGGCTTTGGGACAGGGCTGGCTACCGAGTCACGGCCTCTACTCTGGTAGAGTTTACTGTTTTGTCCGGAAACAGACAGGCTCATACAAGGGCAGTTTCCATGTTCTGTGACAAGGGACTGGTTGGTGGAGGGATGTTCAGGGGGCTGAGTTGAGAAGTGGAACTTCTAGGCCAACCTAGAATTCAGGGAGGTTTTCTGAAGGAAGTGATCCTGACCAGTGCTTATAATACGGGTTTAAAGTGTTCCTGGCAGAAGGACAGCATGGGAGAAGGCCCAGAGGGTTGATCAGTCGTCTTGCGTGCAGGTTGGTCTTAACAGAATACCTAAAGTGTGAAATCTGTTGGGGGTCAGGGTGCAGAAGACCCCCTGTGTGCCTTCTCATTAGGATGTCATTGCAGGGTTTTATGTGGGGAGTGACATGGTCAGTTGTGTGGTTGGTTAGATTGTTTTGACCACAGTAGAGGGAAGATCTGTGGGAGTGGGGAGGTGGGGGAGAGAGAGACAAGGCAAAAAATAAGTTAGGACGAGTCGAGGTAAGCTCAGTTTTGGACTGTCTTATCCCTCGTGATCTCCAAGTGGTTATGGTCAAGAGGTGGTTACATGTCTGATTCTGAAGACGCGGGCAGACAGGGCCAGGTGTGTGGATTTGGGTCACTCAGGGCCACTCGGCTGGTCAGGACCCCAAGAGGGGGGCGATTACCTAAAGAGTTGGTAGTGAGGGACGACCTGTGGACCCGAGCGGCACAAGTGGTTAAGAGGTAGCAGAGGGGAAGCTCACAGAGGTGACCAGGAAAGTCTGGCCAGACTGGAGAGAGAAGAACGGTGGGGAGAGTATTGCTATAAACAAAGATGATGAGAATAATATTGTCATAATCCAACTGTAATGATATTAATAGTGTTTATTATGTTCTAGGCACTGTTCTGAGTTGTAGCATAGGTTGTGTCATTTAGTTCTCAGAGCCGTCCTATGGGAAAGGAGCCAATATTATTCCCGTAACAGGAATAATGCAATGGTGGCATAGGTCACACAGCAAGTAAGTGGCGAAGCTGGAAATCGCACCCAGCCTGGACCCAGAGTCCACGCTCTGAACCACCATGCCAAACTGCCTCTCTAGGTACTGCAGAAAGTTGCCAGAAGGAGTTAGTAGTGGGCAGTGGGTTGGGGATGTCTGATAAGAAGATGGCTGAGACTGTCGTTGACAACATGGTGGTCACTGATGATCAGTGAATGGTGGGTGAGGAACCATATTCAGGTGGGTCGAGGAACGATGGAGAATGAGGAGAAAAAAATGATCCCTCTTCTTTTGAGAATCGTGCCTATAAAGAGAAGAGATAGAGGTTCCTTCTAGGCGAGTGGAGATTTTTTTTAAAAAAATTGTTTTTTGATGGACAGACTTGAACGTATTCCTAAGCTGAGGGCAAACTGGTAGAGAGCGAGTCTAAGATTAGGAGCAGAGGGGTGGGTGTTTGATGGATCAGTGCCCTGGATATTGGCGGCTTCGGAATTAAGAGCACAGGGAAGGGCTCCCTCGTGGACAGGAGACGAGAACCCCACACCCTCACGGATGGGACGGAGGAGATCAGGGTGTGGGCCAGCGGAGACAGATGCACTGGTGGGGTTCAGGGACTGACGTTATTCACATCTGCCATCTGGTTTCCACGAAGATGTCTCCTGGGCCTCAGATTCTAGTTTTTTAATAATGAATTTTGCATTTGAGAAAAGAAATACTGCACTCATTCTCTAGGCGGATGCAGTTTGTGGTTGAGTGGCATGATAGCATCATGGTGAAGGCATCTTCTTTAGAATCATTACAGTCCTGATTCTAGCCTCTTCTCTGCCACTTAGTAACTTTAACCTCGAGGCTCTGTTTTCCCGTGTGTGGATGGCGGATGGAGACAGTTCTTACACTGTCGTTTCCAGGGCAGTGTTCAGCACACAGTGGGTGCTTAATTAAATAGGAGCTATACTATTTAAGCCACAGTTAGGAGGCAGCGGGATTAGCATAGTGATTCTAGGCCTGTGTGCTGAAGTCACCTCGGGCCGGCTACTCATGTCCTCTGTGGCTCGTATACCTCTTTGGTACAGTTGGGGAACACCACTCCCTACCTCGTGAGGTTGTTGTGATGTATAAGTGAGATGGTCGTAGAAAGTGCAAGCAAGGTTGAGTGAAAAATGTCTACAGGGGTCCAGGGTTGGGGTAGGCAAGCTACAAGCTGTAGGCCAAGTCCAGCCTATACACTAAGAATAGATTTTACATTTCAGTGCATTACTGAAACAAAAAGGAAGAGTATGTGACAGGGACTATAGGTAGCCTGGAAGGTTTAAAACATTCACTAGCTGGCTTTTTATAGAAAAAGTTTGCCAGCCCCCCATCCAGCTTTACTGCCTGCCCAGCACTTATGAGGCTACTTATCACACCGTTATTTGAGAGATTTAAAAAAAAAAAAATCTTTTTAGCTTTTACAGCCTTAGAAATTACATATTCTAATTCCATTTCATTTTTTTAATTGCATGACATAAATTGAAATGACAGTTTTAAAAAGACAATTATTGCATTTTTTATTAAGTTTCCCAGGTTGTAGATGATAACATTCCTTAATTTCTCAATAGGTGTATTTCCTCCTATTCAAAAGAATAATTCTATCTTAGTTTTTTGTCTCATCCGTTGAAACGTTGAGAATGGGGTAAGACGTTCACATTTTAAACTCACTGGTTGGAAACTGTAATTTGCTTATGACCCTTAAGCTGTTGTGATACTCTTCTCCTTCCTCTAAACGTCTGGATTTTCCTGCTTTATTTCCAGACTGTTACTCTCTGTTGCCCAAGTGCCTTGGTGTGGAACTACTCCACAAATGACAATAAGAGCGCGAACCCGGGCTCACCCCTGGATCTGCTGCAGGTGGCCCCCTCCAGCCTCCCCATGCCGGGCGGGAACACGGCCTTCAACCAGCAGGTAGACTTGCTGTTCCAGTGGTTTGTTGGGTGTTTTCATTCTTGGGAGGTATCACAGCACAGTGGGCTAAGCCTGGATTGCAGCACACTCGGGTTCTTGGGGGCCGTTCCCAGCTCTGCCGCCATCTCTCCAGGGGACCTCGGGGAAGTCAGTAGCCTCTCTGAACTGCAGAAGTTTGTCACGTTGCTCCTTTTCTTCTCACCCTCTTGCTGGACTGTTCTTGTGGACAGTTCTGCCCCCTGGACAGTAATTACGGTGGTGGTTCTAATACATGATCACGACATCCCGAGTTAGTAGTCTGTATATTAGTATAGTCATACACTATAGAGTTAGGAGTCTGGGTATTTTGTAACTATTATATGTTTTTATTAGTGCTGGGTTATTTGGTTCAAAGACTGAAGAAACTTGAACCACAGGACCATGACAAATATTTAGAACAAGAGCTCTGTTTTTTTTTTTTTTTAAACCAAGCAGTTTTCTTCAATTAATAAAGCGTGGCTAGTTGCTTTCATACACAGAAGAATGGCCCAAAGATGGTATTTTAGAACTTTTACCTTTCTGTCTTGATGTCCTAAAAATATTTCACTTAAAGATTTTTTTGGCAAGCGTGTATTTTTCTGCGTATTTATTATCGAAAACTGGCATTGAATCAGCACTTGTAAATTTTAAAATGCACTTCTTGGGCAGCAGGCTGAATTTCCTACAGTGCAATCGAGGTTGTAGCTCACTGGAGGATGTTCTGCTCGTGTGGAAAAACCTGACATGATTTAGACAGCCATTGGGGCTTTCCAAGCACAAGTTAATTAGAGGTGATTATCTTTCAGGTTCGGGCCAGGATTTATGAGGTAGAACAGCAGATCAAACAAAGAGGCCGTGCAGTGGAAGTTCGGTGGTCTTTTGACAAGTGCCAAGAGTCAACAGCAGGTACAGAACACAACAGAAGAAGGAGCGCTTTGGAACGCTGGACTTTTTGCCGTGTTTCTCATTCTTGTCAATCAGTCCTCATTCTGAATAAGGATGCTCTTGGACTTAGCCCCCTAGTGCATTTTGAGGACGTTCTTCAGTCTGTGCCCTTTAGATCCTGGCTGTCTAGAATGTCAGGTTTGATTTTGTTGGCAATTCTTTTATGCTGAGAATGATAATGTCTTAAAATTCCCTTTGTCCCACCTGATGATGACTTTGTACTGTGCTACTCTGGCTTTGTTTGGCCCTTCTTAACTGCATGCTTAATTTCTGCACCTAGGGGTGACCATTAGTCGGGTTTTGCACACGTTGGAGGTGTTGGATCGACACTGCTTTGACCGAACTGATTCCAGCAATTCAATGGAGACACTTTATCATAAGATTTTCTGGGCAAACCAAAACAAAGATAACCAAGAGGTAGAGTTAATATTTCTTTTCTTCTTTTCACCTTTTATTTTCTTAGCATATTTTCTTCTTTTTTATTCACTGAATTCTGGCAAAGCCTTTTCTGTGAAGTGTAATATCTTATGAAGGCGTCTACACCCTAAAGTCATTCTATTGTTGGACTACAGTAGCTCACCATTATTAAAATGAACTGTCCGCTGGGCTGGTCTAGCTAAGTATATTGGTTGAAAATATTTTTCTTAGCCCTTTTATCATCACTCCCCATCATTTTAGTTTTAGCAGAATATCCTTCATCTAGTGATTGGATTTTATATAGTGGTTTGGTTTTAATTTAAGGGGAATGTGTTCTAATTATTTAGCGTGTCAGAGAGCAGTGAATGAATCCTTGCTGTCACGATCTTTGAAAAATCTGTAGACAATGTATTTAGACAGGATTCTCCAGAGAAACAGAACCAATAGGGGGAAAAATTATATGTATATGTATATATATATATATATATATATATATATATAAAATATAAAAGCAAGGGAGACGTTTATTTATTTTAAGGAATTGGCTCACGTGATTGTAGGGGTTGACAAGTCTGAAATGTGCAGGGTAGGCCAGTAGGCTGGAGACCCAGGGAACCTTTTCTTTCTTTTTTGTCTCTTAAGGCCTTCAACTGATTAGATGAGGCCCACCCACGTTATGGAAAGATAATCTGCTTTACTCAGAGTTTACTGATTTAAACGTTATTCATGTTTTATTAAAAAAAAAAAAGAAAAAAACCTTCACAGTACCATCTAGACTGGAGTTTGACCAGAAAAGTGGGAACCATAGCCTAGCCAAGTTGACACATAAAATTAAGCATCACAGACAATTTTTATTTTATGCTTTCCTAGCAGCGTCTCATTACTGAACTGCTCCATTAAGACAGAATTTTCAGTAATGTTTTCTCAACCTTATTTTGGGAGAAATAAAAATTTTCTCTTCCTTTTGCAATGGAAAGCACGTATGGTATATCCAAGTTGTGGAGGCATCAGGAATGCAGAGGTAAGTTTTAACACGTGGTACCCATCTTGAAGGAACACTTAATTTAACTTAATTGTTTGAAGTATAGTTGATTTACAATATTAGACTCAGGTATACAGTATAGTGATTCAGGATTCTTATACATTATACTCTATTTAAAGTTATTACAAAATAATGGCTACATTTCCCTGTGCTGTATGAAGGAACACTGTATAGTTAGCTGATTATAAATATCTTTGATTTTCATAACTCGCCTGTGAGAACGCATAGGTGGAAAGAAGAGATAAAATAACAACCAAAAACCTTTCCTTATCCTACCTTCATGTGAACCTGATGTGAATTTGTTCCAGGCTATTCTTCTTTTTGAAATAATTTGTAAGTCAGCACCTTGCCTCTCAAAGATAAGGTTCAAGACCGTTGATGCCAAGTTGGAGGTCAGGATGTTGAGAGTGAGGTACAGACCGAGTGTGTTTTCTAGCTCCTTGTGAGTGCGTCTCAGTAGAGATGCCTCAGTATCTCTGTAGAGCACACTGGTAAGTCTACCCAGTTCTCTGCTTACTGATGCAGGCTAGAGTGTTGCTGTGTCCTTTTGGGACAGAGGCCTGAAAGTCTGTCTATTTGTAATAAAGACTTTTTCTTAGCTGAAAGGCCTCAACAGCACTAAGATTTTTTCTTAATGCATAGAGGTGAGCTGTCTGGAAGGACAGCAGGGACACCTGAAATTCCAGGTGTCCTTTTGGATCGCTGAGCTCTCTACCCTAGTGCTGAGTCAGGACGGCATGGTTCCCTGGTGGGAGTTTTACCAAAATCCCTAGCGTTTACTTATTCTAGATTTGCGCTACGTGGCTTTCCATTCAGTATAGCGAGAGATGTGGTGGGCTGCCGAGCCCAGGTGACCGGGAAAGGGGCTGTCCTTTCTGAACAGGGCAGCCTACCTCGGCTTCTGTTTGGTTTTGTAGACCCGCTGTTGCCTGATCGCCGCGTGTTTTGGGAGAACCTGGATGTGGAGATCTGTATGTAAACTCTCCCAATCTTAAACCACTTTGCCGGCCAAGCCGTATGTCTTGTGGGCCGTGTTTGCTCAGCTGCCTGTCACGTGCCAGCTCCTGCTACGTGTTTTATGCAACACTGACTCAGGTAGCTTCCTGTTCAGTGTCTTCGAACCACTTGTGCTGTGCGTGCTAGAGGTGGAGGAGCCCGATACCCACGCGAGGGGGTTACTTTGGGGCCGTGAGGACCTCCTGATTCCAAGCCCTGCCTGAGTCTGTCATGTGTGACCCGCAGGCAGGGGTTGCGTTGCCGACCTCACCTCTGAGCAGCAGGGTCGGGAGGTGCCCCCTTCAACTTCCAGAGCCCCCAGACCGCTTCCTTCCGCGTGGCTTCTCCCCTCGTTTGTGTCGGGCTTGGGGGGAGAAGCAGCTGCAGCTGCGTCTTGGGGTGCGCTGAGGACGTGGATAGAAGGGAGAGTCAAAAGGAGGCCTTTTCCCTTCTCTCTGTGGTGCCCGAGGAAGCAGACTTTCTCCTGAGTAATGACAAGGCCAAACCAGCTGCAGTGGCCGAAGCTGGTCGGAACAGCGGCAGATGTGCATTTGCTCTTCCCCTGCTGTTAAATCCAGCTCCCTGGACAGGTGTGATGAGTTCACATGGGCGTTTTTGAATGGAGAGTCCAGAACAGGCCTTCTTTCAGCTCTGGTCCGGGCCAGCTCCGCAGTAGTGCGGCTGCAGGACTCTACCCACAAGGCAGAAGCTCCGTGTCTTTTCTGTCATGGCTGTGCTTCGTTCCGTGTCTCTTCCTGTGAGCCGAGGGCTGCACAGCCCCAGGGCAGCTTCCTCCTGGTCGCCGGCGCGCCACCAGCCTCAAGCACCGCGCCAAGGCCCAGCGAGCCCTCGGGAGATGTTTAATTGGTTTTTTTGGGTGCTCTTAAAAAGGCTGCTGGGACTGTGGGCAGGAAGCGGCAACCCCTCTGAAAGATTTGGCTGGGAAGGCTCGGGGTGAGGGCCGTGATGAGGTCTGTTCAGTCTGTGGGTTTTACCGGTGGCTCAGGTTCAGACGCACAAGAGGTACGCGCAGCTGCAGGTGGGTGGGCGGCTGACAGGAGACCTCTCAGCTGGCGAGTCAGCAGGTCAGTGCGTGTATCTGGTGGCATCACGGACAGTTCACTTAGCTTGATGAGTCTCGGTCTCTCCATTTGTAAACTGGGCATTCTGTCTGCTGGTGACGGGAAAATGGCACGAAACCATATGGAGGAAACATTTCAGTATTTATAGCTTGTAAACGGGTACCCTAAACACTAGCTGCTGTCCTTCCTGAGTGATGGATTTAGGGAGACCATGAAAGACAGATGGAAGGAATATGATCCCTTGGGACTTCCGAGAGAGCGAGAGCGAGAGAGAGAGAGGGGGAGAGAGAGAGAGACAGAGAGAGAGACACAGACACAGACAGACACGCACACACAGCTCTACCCGTTGCACAGTCTGCTTAACCCATAAAGCACAGCCTGGATCTATCGGGCTTTTTACGTCCTCGGATTTTCACGAAGGCTCTGCCCTCAGTGGGGAAGCAGTTGGGTGGGGCTGGCTCGCCCTGGTGAGGTGGCTGAGTACCATGTTGTCAGAGAGATCGCGCTCGTTTCAATGCTTCGGGTGTTTTTGTGGTTTTTTTTGCCGTACGCGGGCCTCTCACTGTTGTGGCCTCTCCCGTTGCGGAGCACAGGCTCCGGACGCGCAGGCTCAGCGGCCATGGCTCACGGGCCCAGCCGCCCCGCGGCACGTGGGATCTTCCCGGACCGGGGCACGAACCCGTGTCCCCTGCATCAGCAGGCGGACTCTCAACCATGCGCCACCAGGGAAGCCCCCCCCCTTTTTTTTTTAAATGTTGTTTAAGAAAATGTCACTTTTTAAAACCGGGACTCAAGATAGGAGGGTCAGATGAGGCCAAAAGTCAAGCGAACTAGGAAAACACGCAGGTATGGCTCCCCGTTAAGGTGCCGTGTGCTGAAGTGTTACAACAGTTATCGTGAGTCTTGATCGTGGCCCAGCCGGAGCTTATTGTGCCTCAGAAGTTACCCACTTTCCTGCTGGACACCCAAAGGAAGAAGCGTTGCTCATCTTTTACAGTTACTGTTTTCTTCTTTCTTAAACTAAATCCATTAGTACAAGGGCAGTTATATTAATATAGCTGCGGGAGAAGGTGGTGTGTCCAGACACCTAGACTTGTCTGTTATTGAGGAGGGCCGGTAATGAATCCGTTTAGATGGGGGTGGGCCTCTCGGTGTGTTTGTGTGTTGTTTTTCCTTCTTCAGCCTTTTCTTGAGTACTTCTTTGCCGCTAGGCCCTGTTGTAAGAAATTTTCCATGGCTGATGAGACACATGTTTAAAAAAAAATTTTTTTTTTTATTCTTCTATTTTACAGATGAGGAAACCAAGAGCCTAAGCTCATACCCGACTCTTTGGTGGGCGAATAGGGATTGGAGTCCTAAATGGTTCCAGAACAACATTCTTGGCTAGTACATTCTATTTCTTGTGCTGCTTCTTTCAAAAGTCATTTTATTTTAGGTACCTGTAGCTGAACAAACAAGCGTCAGACGTAACTTTGGAAAAAGGAGGGAAAAACCTTTATAATTGCAGTGAGCAGTTTCCACATTGATGTGGGCATACTGATTTGCAGTAATAACCTCTAACTGATTTTTAAAAGTGTGGCAATTTTAATGTAGTATTTACCTTAGAAAATCTTCAAGTTGAGAAATCTGGCCTTTGTAGGATATCACAACCTTGAGGCCAGTTCAGACCTGGATTTGGATCCTGGCTTTGTTGTAGAGTAGCTGGGTGGGGCCCCAGACTGGGTACTTACCTCCCTCAGTGTCATTCTCTCTGTACGATGACCTTACTAACAGAATCCACTTCATATGGTGGCATATGGTAAACGCCTAGTAAATGCCAATTGTTCTGTTCTTGGCTGGGCAACTTTGGATGTCAAGTGATTTGAACCTAGCACCATGTT